ATGATAGTGTTGTGATTACTGAGTTGTATCAGACTGCAAAACTTCTTCAGTGTCAGTTTTAGCTAAAGAAAGATCATAGCTGGTTTTTCTTCACAAGCATTTATGCTGATAATGATGCTGGGGAGAGAGAGAAGATGTTGGAAGATCTAGTGACGCTTTCAAAATCGATTCATGTTCCATGGATCGTAGTGGGAGACTTCAACAACATTCTGAAACCTGGGGAAAAACTAGGAGGTAAAGCAGTGGAGTTAAAAGAGTTCTAAGCTTTTCAGTACTGCTTGGAAGTGTGTAGGTTAAGTGATATTCCTCAAACTGGAAAAATATACACATGGTATAATCAGCGAATGGGGTTAGAGGGGATTTACGCTAAGTTGAACAGGGCCTTAGGAAACAATTAATGGCTTGAACAATACTCTGAGGCAACAGTTGAAGTCTAGTTGGAAGGTATTTCAGATCACGCCCCCCTGGCCCTGAATTTGTTTACTCCAAGTATCTAGAAGCCTAAGTCTTTCCGTTATTTTAATATGTGGAATTTTTCTCCTGAGTTCCTGGTTGTCGTAAAGAGATTTTGGGAATGAAAAGTAAGGGGTACAAAGATGATTCAAGTGTGCTCAAAGTTAAAAATGCTGAAACAGCCTTTGAAGAGATTAAACAAGGACAAATTTGCAAACATAGTAGTGACTGCTACGCAGGACCTGAATGTGTTAGCAAATTGTCAGCTGGAATTGAGCAAGGATCTTGAAAACCTGCGAGAAAAAGAGAGAGAGGCTCCTAAGGTCTATATCCAATCAAGTAAAGCTTAGAATAGTTACCTTCAGCAAAAGGCCAAGGAACAATGGATTGCCGAAGGTGATGAGAACAATCAGTATTTTTATTCAGTGTTAAAAGTCAGACAAATGAGGAACCGTATATGGTCAGTGGTTGAGGAGGATGGGTGTGAGGTTACAGCATGGGAAGAAATCGAGGAACATTTCCTTAGTTTCTACCAAAAGCCCCTAGGTTAATCTACAAGTAGAGTTCCTATAGATGAAGAGAATTTTGCAGCAGGGACAAAATTGATGGTAGAACAACAGCTTGACCTAATCAGGCTAGTGGGGAGACAATAGATTAAAGCTGCTCTTTGGGAAATGGATATCAACAAAAGTCCGGGACCAGATGGGTAAGGCTCAAGATTTTACAAATCGGCATGGGACGTGGTGGGGAAAGACTTCACTGAGGCAGTGCTGGAGTTTTTCGAGACTGGACAGTTACTAAAATAGTTGAACTCTACCTCCCTTGTCTTAATTCCAAAACTAGAATCTCCTATTAATGCAAATCAGTTTAGGCCTATTGCTTGCTGTAATATAATTTATAAATACATTTCTAAAGTTTTGTGCAATAGATTAAAAAATATGTTGCCTGCTCTAATAGACCAAAACCAGAATGCATTTGTAAAGAATAGACTGATTATGCATAATGTATTTATAGTTCAGGAGTTGATTCGATTGTATAGGAGAAAGGGGATTAGTGGGAGACTTATGATGAAAATTGATCCGAAAAAAAGAGCATGATTTGTTGAATGGGGGTTTATAGAAGAGATGTTGATAGGTTTTGGGTTTCCGGAACAGTTAGGTGCTGGATTATGACCTGTGTGTCAACTCCTACCTATTCGGTTTTGTTATATGGGTGCAATGTTAGGTGTTTTAGGGGTAAAAGGGGACTTAGACAGGGGAATTCTACATCTCCACTTCTCTTTGTATTGGTTATGGAATACCTGACCCGTAGTTTAAAAAGGGTAGCTGTAACGGGGTTTAAATTTCATCCTCTATGCAAGCAGCTTAAACTCACTAACATCTGCTTTGCAGATAATTTAATGATCTTCTACAAAGCAGATGTCGAAACAGTTAGAAAGACTGTAGCTGTGTTTAGTGAGTTTTGAAGACATCAGGATTAGTGGCCAACCTGCAGAAGTCTTCCATTTATTTTGTGGGAGTGAGTCAGAATTTACAGGAGGAAATTCGCAATATTACTGGCTTCGCACTAGGGTCCTTTCCCATGAAGTACTTTGAAATGTCATTATCTCCTAAAAAGTGGTCACAGGTAGAATGCGAAGAAGTAATAATGGAATAGTAGCAAGGGTGAAATGCCTGAGTACGAGAGATGTCTCGTACGCTGGAGGTTGTTGCTTATAAAGTCTGTGTTAATGGCTATGCACACGTACTGGGGATCTATGTTTATACTTCCTCAAAGTATGACTAGTAGTGTTAATCCTATTTACAGAGAGTTTCTATGGAGGGGGGGAGGACGACAGGGTAGTATCCTTGGTGAACTGGGAAGAAGTATGCCGTAAGAAGGCAGTGGGTGGACTAGGGATCAGAGATGCAAGCCTGTGGAACAAGGTTGCAATTGGAGAGCAGGTCTAGCATTTGGCAATGCAAAAGGAGTCCCTGTGGGTACGATGGATTCATGGGTGTACATCAAACAGAATAAGTTCTAGGAGATGGAGCCTAAAATGGATTCGAGTTGGCATTTGAAACAACTTTTGAAGATAAAGGAGCAACTGAAAGCTGGTTTTAATGGTTTGCAATGGAAGGCAAGTAAGAATGGTCCGTATACCATTTTTTCTGGTTATGATTTGTTGACTGGGGTTGGTGAAAAGATGAGAGCAGCAGAATGTATTTGGGCCAGTCATAACATACCAAGGCATGCATTCATTGCTTGGTTAGTTTGGAAGAAAAGAGTACTCACTAAAGACAGGTTGATTAGGATGAATGGTGAGGTAAGTTAGACTGTTTGTATACTAATCAAAGGACATCCAGCGACTGGACCATGTTTTCTTTCAGTGTTGCTTTGCAAGAAAGTTGTTGGATTTGCTGAGACAGTGGCTGGGATGCAGAAGATTTGATGGGACTGATTTCATATGGAAGAATCATGAGCTGCAGTGCTGGAAATGACAGAAATTTAAAAGAAGTGTATTGATGGCGGCTGTGACTGCTACAATTTATCATTTATGGGAAGAGAAGAACAAACGGCAGTTTGAGGATGAAGTAAGACAACCAGAGATTATTATGAGTATCATACGAAGGGAGCTGCAATGCAGGTTTAGAAGCAAAGCAGGGCACAAAAGGAATGTTGTAAAGGAGAAAGTGTTGTAGAGATTCTTTCCCTTCAGTTTAGATTGCTTTTGGTTTGATTGAATATTAGAAGAGTTGTTTTTCTCAAATATTGTAAAGTTTTTTTCTCTTATTGAGGCTTTCACTTGCCTCTGAAGTTTTGTAGCAAAAGTAGGGTTCTCCAATCATTGAAAGACGCTTACACTGTTTTTGGTGTATTTGTATATCAAATTTACATTTGCCCCCCAAAAAAAATTAGTAATTAGTCCCTCTCTCTCTCACACACGTTGCTAGTTTATTATTTAAATGTTATCATGAAAAAAAAAAAAATTTTGTTAGTTATGATCAATAAAAAAATTTTTTCATTATATGATCATAATTTATTATTTATTATTTATAACTACACCATAAAAATAATTTTTTTCTGAATTATAAACTCAAACTATTTTTTTGAAAATCATGAGAGATCGAGCCAACCATACCTTCTGAATCGGTCGTAATGTGATTTCTCCATGTACCTAATGGCCACATGGTAACAGTAATTTCGAGAACTAACAAACTTTAATTTCTCCAGCACAATCAGGGATATTGTAGAACAACCACCTGCATAGTACCTGTGACTCCATCCTAATTGAGTAGAGATATCAATTAGTGTACCGATAATCAGAACTTGAAATTTATTTCAATTTTATTTTCCCTTTGGTGGTTTTGTCAGCTAAAAAATAAGGAGGGAGGGCCTTTTTTGTTAGTAACTCTTGTTTCGTCACATTCAATGTCAAACTAGTATCACTACTAATGCTGGAACATCAAAACTTTCTATCTCTCAAAAACCTAGAGAGAAAACTCTCACTTTCTCCAAAACGTGAGAAAGGCTTACTGGTTTTCTTGAACCCAATATCCCACTCCGCCGCTAGTTTTCCTTTTCCCAACTCTGGGATTCTGGTTTATCTTCAATTAAAATATTTTCCAATGTTGGTTGCATGGCATAATTGTTCTGAGTCTTGCCATTTGGAGTGCATGCACAAAGTGGCATAACTATTAGCCCACTATCCTTAGTTTAAAATTGCAGAAAATCAAGTGCCAGAGATTATATAAATTCCCTGGGATCTTCTTGGTCCTTTAAAATTCCCTGCAAATTTTATTTATTCTCCAGGCGATTAGTTTTCAAATCTGTTTTCACATAGATCTACTTCTGCTTCTTGGCATTAACGATATGGCTGTATTTACTATGCAATAGTACTTAATGCTGAGTTAGTTTACGAGGTGACTGTGATCTTTTACAACAACCTTTACTCTTCTCGAATCTAACCTTTACCCGAAAAGTCAACCTTTTGCTGCTAAAATATTCCATTTCAAACAATTAAAGTTCAGATCGGGCCTTACAAGTTAGTTCTTCAAAAACCCTTTTACCAGAAGGTCCTTTTTACTCAGATTTGTCTTTTGCACAATGAATTACTGCCATGCACTCGACGAGGAGTCGGTTACGGCTATGTCGATCGATGGTTCAGAATATTCTAAAAAAAACTATGATTTTCAGCTAGGGTTAGATGTCCCGCCTCATTTGATCCACACTTCATACATGAGAATTGATAATCTGTCTATCTCTGATGACGATACTACTCTGTGTAGGCATAATCTAGGCTTATCTTTACTAAGCTACTTCTTCGGCAAATCTGAGTTTTGATGCAGCCAGCATGCAAGCCTATTTTATAGAGAATTGGCTGGTCTATATCCGGTCCTCCACTATGACCGCAACTTTTTCATCATTCGATTCCTACGTCGAACATATCTACTCACAATTTTGGACATTGGTCCATATGCATTGGAAGGTGGTCTCTTGATCCTAAGGAGGTGCTACGATGAGGATGATTTGGCACTGGATAATATCCGGATTCAGAAGCTAGGCATATGGGTGGGCTGCATGGTGTTCCAATCACCATGTTAAACTACAGGGGTGTAAGAAAATTGGCTAGCAGAGTGGGGAAAATCATTACAGTTAAGGAGGGCTGCATCTCACTCCGCAAAGCTACCTATGTAAGGGCTAAAGTGTGGATTGAACCGGGTAACCCTCTCACTCCTAGCTTTCATATTACTAAACGAAATGGTAAAGAAAGTGAAATCTAGTGCAAATATGAGAGTGGTAGACTAGGCCACCATATGCAAAAATGTTATATGGTTAATGATATGGTTTTGGAGGAGTTTCTGGATTCCTATTTTCTGGCAAAAGCTATGAAACATCACTCCCCGATGTTGATTGATGAAAGTCAAACTCTGTTCCCAAAGTCTTTGAGGGCAGATGGCCACAAGAAGAAGAGGTCGACTAGACTGATGCCTCACAAAGTCCACATGATGAGAGATTATTACAGTACGGCCCCTGAGCTGCCATTTGGATGGATTCACAATTACAGAGGTGGAGGAACCTGAGCCTACGGCGTGGTATCCGGCGGATATTCCAGATGGGGATGATTCTGACAATGAAGACGGAGGCAATGCAGACGATGATTCAGATGATGACAATGATCCTGGTCACTCACCACAGAATTCTAATGATCAACACTGGGATGCAACTATGGATGCTGCCTCTGATCCAACAGTGCCCCATACATTCCAAAATGGACACCTTGATAATGGTCATGTCAATTCAGGATGTATGGCGGCTCCGGCAGCTGAACAGGGACTTCTTCTGGACTAAGACATGTCCTCCTTTGATGGTAACAGTGGTTTTCATCACTATGGTATGTTTTCTGTTTCTGATGCTATGCTAAACTCTTTTTATTTGATTTCTGAAGAAGCTCTAGGGGAAGATATCCTTGATGCTGCTTATTTTGTTCCGGATTTATTTATTCTGAATGTTCCGGACTACCCTTAAATTGTTGATGTTGATGTAATTGATTTCCCCCCGGTCTGTTTTGGGGGGATTTACCTCTAATAATGTACCCAGTAGTGCGGGTAATAGTTATAGGGCTAGTTCTGTTGTATCTATGAATTCGGAAACTGAAAGCCTGTATATTATTAGTTTAGATGGGGGGAGGGGGGAGGACAGGGAGGATTTAGTCGAGTCCAATATTGAGCTGCAGTCCTCCTCTGAGTCTTCCACTTGTTCCAGTTTAAAAGTGAGAGCACGCAGGTTGAAGAAGTCTTCCAAGAAACACAAACGGGCACTGAAACCAGCTTTCTGTATGCAGGCTTGGGATTTGGATTCTGGTGATGGCTCAGATGATTCACTAGATTGCTACAACATTCGAATGGCGGATTCAGACATTGAGATGCAACATGAACTTGAGATTGATGTTGCAGGCACTTTAAGGCGATCAATATAGCCTAGTAAAAGAAGGTTCATCAGAAAGGACGTTTCTCTTTCTATTGTTCAATGAATTTGAGACAAGAGACATTATTGTTCAATTGCTGAGCATAAACGAGTTGCACCCTTTATACCTTGCACTTCAGTACCCGATCATTTTTTTCGTATGGTGAAGACGGATTCAGAATCAATATAAAAGTTGGAGATCCAAACACTGATTCTGATGATGATGATGATGATCAAAGTGATGATGATGATGAGGAGGAAAATGAAAATAAAGAAGAAGAGTACAAGGGTCCCCGTAAATGGATGAGTATGAGAGAGTGGTTTGCCTTCCGTATTATGGAAAGGAATGATGATGGTAGCATGCTATTGTTTGCACGGAGGTGTTTTCAACATTTTTTAGTTGATGGTTACAGTGCAGTTGAAGCTGGTCGTATCTTTTTTGTGAAGAGAAATCAGAAAAAATTACGGTGTGAAACATATGAAAACATCAGAAGATCTCTCAAAACAAGCAACAATGATGCATCAGACATTGGTTAGAGGATTTTACTGCCATCCTCTTTCACTGGAGGTGACAGATGGAAACGGGAGAACTATATTGGTGCAATGACAATAGTGAAGGTGTTCGGCTACCCAGACGTGTTCCTAACATTTACATGCAACAACAAGTGGCCTGAAATTGTACTATAAAAAGAGGGGATTGAAACCCGAAGATAGGGCTGATATTGTCTCAAGAGTTTTTAACATGAAACTTGATAGACTGATGAAGGATATTAAAGATAAGCGAGTATTTGGTCGTGTAGAAGCAGGTAAACATATTATTCCCAATGATTTGTACTTTTATATAATTTTATTATTATATTGCATAACAGTTTACTAACAATTTCTGAAATTTTATTTATGCAGGTGTTTACACTATTGAGTACCAGAAAAGAGGTCTCTCACACGCACACATAGTTGTGTGGCTACATCGAGATGATAAAATAACAAATGCAGAAGATATGAATTAATACATAAGTGCGGAACTACCCGACAAAGACGATGACCCAGTCCTTGCGGTGATGATTTCCCTCACACTCCATGTATGGTGGATGGAAAATGTTCAAAGAGATTTCTCAAAAAATTTAAAAATTTTACAAGCATAGCTGAAGATGGATTTCCTGATTATATGAGACGTGATGATGGCAGATCCTTCGAAAAAAATGGTGCAACATTTGACAACAGATGGGTAGTTGGTTACAACTGGTACTTGATTCTTAGATACCATGCACATATAAACGTCGAATGGTGTAATCAAGCTGGGACAATAAAGTATTTATTCAAATACTTGAATAAAGGATCTGATCGTGTTCTTTTAAATATACGAGAAATGGGGAGCCAACCAGAGAAGAATATGATAATGGTCCAAAAGATGAAGTCGGAGATTGGTATGAGGGCAGGTATCTCTCTAGTTGTGAAGTTGCATGGCGAGTGCTTAATTTTAAGCTCCATTACAGATCACATTCTGTAGAGCGTTTAAGTTTCCATATGCCTGGGCAACAAAGTATAAGGATCAGACTGTTGAAGATGTTGCCGTGAAAGCTTCAACCAAACAGTTGAAATTCTTGGGTTGGATGGAAGCTAACACATTGTATCCTGAAGCAAGAAACCTTACTTACATAAATTTTCCATCCAAGTTCGTATGGAAGAAAAAAAAAAGTTTGGGTTCCAAGGAAAGTAGGATCAAGTATTGGCAGGATACATGGAGTCCCTGTAGCTTCAGGTGAACCTTTTTACATGAGAGTTCTTCTCAATGTAGTCAAAGGTCCAACAGGCTTTGAGGACATCAGAATTGTGGAAGTTACTGAGTACTCAACATTCAAGGAAGCTTGCTTGGTAAGGGGTTTACTGGATGATGAAAAAGAATATATTGATTGCATACAAGAAACATCTACTTGGGGTACAGGTAACTATTGTAGGAATCTTTTTGCATCTCCACTGAAGCTAATTATAGACCATCATCAGAACTGGATGATGAAAAAGAATATATTGATTGCATACAATGTCATGCTACATGATGAACTTGACTATGACAGACCATTGCTTCAAATAGAGCACGATTCACTCTATGCAAACCTGACTGATGAGCAAAGAACCGTTTACAGTGAGATTTTGGGTGCTGTTGAAAACGGAAATGCAGGCCTTTTTTTCTTATATGGTTATGGTGGGACAGGTAAGACGTATATATGGAGCACGCTATCAGCTGCAGTTCGTAAGGAAGGGCATATTGTGCTTAACGTCGCTTCAAGCGGAATTGCTTCTTTGTTGCTGGTAGGTGGTAAGACGGCTCATTCAAGGTTTCAGATTCCTATTAATATTACCGATCAATCTGTCTGTTCTATTAAGCCAGGAAGTGATCTCTGTGCATTATTAAAGAGGGCAAAGCTTATTATACGGGATGAGGCACCAACGATACATAAGCACTGTTTTCAGGCATTAGACAGATCTTTAAGGGATATTCTAAGATCATCAAATCCAAACAGTGAAAACCAACCTTTCGGCGGCAAGGTAGTTGTTCCTGGTGGCGATTTCCGTCAGATTTTACCAGTTATTGCAAAGGGAACTAGAGCTGATATAGTTAGGTCTGCAATCAATGCATCATATTTATGGCAACATTCTAAGGTACTTAGGCTAACTGTTAACATGAGATTACGTGTTGGAAGTTCTACTGATGATCCGAAGGAAATACGTGAGTTTTCTCATTGGTTACTCAAGGTTGGTGAAGGTAGGATTTCAGAACCAAATGATGGTGAAGCAGAAATTGAGTTCCCAGAAGATGTAATTATCCAGGAACCGGGAGATCCTATTGTGGTTATTGTCAATACTATATATCCAAGCTTGCTGGATAATTTGAAGGGACCATGTTGGTTTCAGGAAAGAGCTATTCTTGGACCTACACATGACGTTGTTGACAAGGTCAACGATTACATGGTTGAATTGTTGCCTGGAGAAGAACGAGAATATCTATGTTCAGACAGTATCTGCAACTCTGAACATCATTCTAGACAAATATCAGGAAACGCAGGTACTTCTAAACAAACAATAGGACCAGGGTCTGAATCTGATCAAGGAGTATACAGTCCTGAATTCCTCAACAGTGTAAAGGCTTCAGGTCTCCCTAATCACATATTGGTTTTGAAAAAGGATGTTCCAATTATATTGCTACGTAATGTTGATCAAAGGAATGGTCTTTGTAATGGAACAAGGCTTCAGATTACATGTATAGGACGTTGTGTGATAGAGGGTAGGGTCATTTCAGGCACCAACATTGGCCATGTTGTACCTATTCCTAGGATGAACATTGTTCCTACTGATAATAGTATCCCGTTCAGACTGAAGAGGAGACAATTTCCTATAGCAGTCTGCTTCGCAATGACTATCAACAAAAGCCAAGGACAGTCCCTATCTACGGTTGATCTATACCTGCCTCGACCAGTGTTCAGCCACGGACAGTTCTATGTGGCACTGTCAAGGGTGACAACTAAAAAAGGTTTGAAGGTCTTGATTTGCAACCCTTACGGTTCGCGATCAAATCGCACAATGTATGTTGTTTACAAGGAAGCTCTATGTAATGTAATGTAGAGTGGGTTATTCATTTAAGATGTTTTAGATTTAAACAATTTCAATTCTATGAATTTATATACTTTTCATTTATTGTTTCAGCTAATATATACTTCACCATCATATTAAAACATTATTCACAGTTACCATCAGTAAAATTACTCAGTTATATTTGAATTTATTGTAACGAGTAATAAACAAAGATAATATTCATCTTTAAAGTACAGTGTAAAAAAAATACTGCAATGTGTATTTTATTTAAAAAAATATGTAATAATAAATACAGATCCCGACAAATTAGGGTTAACCCTAATTATATATATTTAATTTCTCAGACACCCATCATTCAAACTACTATAAACCACCCTTTACAATCACATACAGGCAGTCAAAACACGTTCCTGAATACGAAACTTCACAAGAAAGGTTGCAATTTATAAGAACTGTAATGCGACTGTTTTAGTACATCCTTCAGTACAAAGTTATTCAAAAGTCCATAGATCCTTCAGTTTTTATATTACATATAGATATAATCTATGGAAGAGGCTTGTGATCTATTGATTAGTGTACCAATAAACATCCGCAGGAAAGGATTGGTAAGCCTTTTATCATTATTTATTTGTATTATGATTATTATTGATTTTCATGCTTTCTTACTTACAAACATTATTTATATAAATTAACATATCCTTAGCAGTAACCTAACTTCAATTATGAGACATGTTGGAAAACAGATCAAAATTCAATTTCAAGGGAACAGATTTTTTTTGCAAACATACATATCACTAAGAAAAGGAGATGTCAGATATATGGTTCTAATCTGGAAGCATTTTTTCAGGAGTTTGGTGTATGTTCCAGATACATTGTTTATCACAAATCTTCTAATGTGATACAGTTATTTTATTTTACTTATGATGGATGTGGAAGGATTCACACAAATGTCAATGCAAATACTAGTAACCGCTATCTACTGAGTTTAAATGATAACACATCCAAACAAGCTGTAAGTCATTAGATTCTTCATTTTCGATTCCTTCTTTTCTTTTGTTATCTTAACCTTTTAAGGTAAATATACGTTTTATAATATATAGTATCAGGACTACCAATAACTGAGAATGAATTACAGGTTATCGAAAAACGTTACTTTTATGGTATTGACTGGCCTTCACAACTAACCACAGCAAAGTGTATTAATCTAAAGCGCAATCAATGGGAGTTCATGATCATGAAGGTAAATAATGAAACAGTAGGTTTTGAAGGGCCGAGGTGGGAAGATTTTCATGACTATTATTACAATAGTCTGAAATGTGTGAATGTAATTGTTGTCTACACTGGAAATCTGTTATTCCATTTAAGGCCTTACAACAATGAAGGTTACTGTTGCAACCTAGACATTGTTGATTCGGATACATCTGAAGGTTTGTATTTTATAATCTTTCACTGAGTAGTTCAATGTCACAAATTTTATTATCATAATACATATGCTAATACTAATGTAAATTTATATTCAGGTGAAGTTGACACAGTGGATTATCTGTACAGCAACGGTGATCAGAACACGTTTTCAGCAACCATGACTGAAACTGTGATTTCTCATAGCAGATTAGTAAGAACCATAGTATACCTATGAATTTACTACAAGTCAAAACCAATTTAATTATGTTAAATCTAAACTATTTATTTAATTACATTGCAGGAGATACCTTGGCATATAGTCCGAAGACTAAAGTTAGAAGATTACACAAATGCTATTTTGTACTATGATGGAGTTGCTGCAATTAACATGCATCGAATTGTGATAAATGACAATCCATATCGGTTTCTCATTGATGGTGATCTCAAGTACATGATGGATTTGAAGAAGATACCTGTGGGTATAACTTTAGGTTTTCGAATAGATGCTCGCAAGGCAGTTAATAAGGAATATTTGATCCTAGAAGTTCTGTAGGTGGCACTATTTGGCATTCTCTTCTTGCCAAGCATTATTATGATGGGAACAATGACCTAATAATTTTCAGCAATGAGTAAACTGTTTAAACCTCAAATTTTATTTGTATATTTATATATATAATTGTAAATTTTGGTTCTTTAATAATCATCCTTTGCCATTTACAGTTTTATATATGTATTATTTGTATGAAAAAAATTAATCAGATAAAAAAAAATACATATTACATTCCTAAGAAAACAAAGCAAAACAAAGACATATACATCTAAAAGCCAAATTAAATAGAGTTTTGTTATAAAGAGATTCACTCCCCTTACATATATAGTTCCCTTATTATTATTCAAACAGATTCAAAATGAAATTTTTATCCTACTCAAATTGTATTAACCAGAAACCTTGATGTGAAGAAACTATCTCACCTTTATTGGATGGTTGAGTTTTATACTTCCGTTGACTGTCCCAATAACAGCAATAACAGCATTGTAGAAATGGTAGCAGCTCCAATCCCAGCTCCAACACCAAAAAATTGACGAATGAAAAAAAAAACCATAACCTTCAAATCATCAAAATGGGATTTGACTGATAGTTTCATATATACGATCCAAAAAAATCCGAAGCTAATAAGAGGTGGAATAAGCTATATTACCTTATAGATCTTAACCAGATTGAATGCATATGCATTCGAATGAATAATCCAGTTTTATTGATGCCGAAACTCAGAGTTTAGCTCAAAAAAGACGATTTCCCAGCGACATACACAATCTAAGCTCACATATGATGGATCGATATTGGAAAACAAACTGACACCATTAGATGAAGAATCTTGAATTCCTTCCGATTTCAAAGACATTTTCAATCACAACATCAATTCCCACATTCGCAGTGTAAATGATTCGAGCAAAAATCCTAAGCAGAGCTAAAAAATTTGGCATGAGAATATGGATTCGTTTGTTGCTGGAGGGAATTGTACAGAACTTTGGTTTCTCCGAAGTCAAATCCCGCATTCTAATTTGATTTGATTTTTTAAAAATTCAGTAAAACTTAATAAGTTAAAAGGGCCAGTATATGGGCTGAGTTTGGGCTTATAAATTATCATATTATAAAAGATCTGGACCCGAATCTCTAATGACCATTATAAACACACAGATTTTCAATTTTGGGCCTTTCATATGTTAGAGCATTTTAAACTATAATTTTAAATTTCCCTTAATTTACAAATTATTAAAAAAATTAAATTTAAACATATTATTCAATTAGTCCATAATCATCATATAAATTTAATATGATTAAAAAATTCATGACCTATAATTTTTACTGTATCAAAAATAGCAAGAACATGTAATAACAATAGATTTAATAACTATTGATAATTAGTATTATTGTAATCGAAATTCATTACATGATTTCATAAATTAAACTTATAGTACATTTAATAAATTATTTTTAAGTCAAAATACATATCAAAGTTAAAAAATAGGGGCCGGCCGGGCATCGCCCCGGCCAAGCATCTTGTTAATGAATGATATGATCGTGCAGAAGTGAACCACTAATACACCAAAAGTCCGCTCTCTTCCCTGAGAATACGGTCTTCCTTATCGAAGACAAGGTCCATGGTTACCTACGTAGGATAAACCACGATTCCATTCTTACGGAAGCAGCAACAACAACGGAAAGTGAGAATGAAATACGACTCCACAGCTAGAAACAGCCACCGGGAGATATATATTGGGAGGTCGATTTCACGCCGGGAATCCGGATTGAAACAGAGTGCCATCAACCAAGCAACGGCGACAAATTTTGAAGGAATTTCTGGACAGAAGGGCACCACAGCGACCTTGGCAACGACAGAATGGTTGTTTGGTCATGAAAATAGAACGGGCAGAGAAGAATCATATTCCAAAAGAAAAATTTCTGGTGAGGGATATCCTTGTCATCGTCGATGTGGTCTTTGGAAAGAGCGGCAGTCATTATAGATATTGCAATCATAGACTCATAGTAGTAGTAATCCCATATTTTTCCAAAACCAACATTGGCCGGAGATGTGCGAATTATTCGTCGGAATCTTGTTACTCAACGAGGAGAAATCAATTATAGTTTTGAGTCATGTTTCTCTATAATTTGAGGTAATTCAGTATCAGTTAATTTAATTATGAACGGTAAAAGATTGGTCTTTCCCGCGGGTTAAAAATAAAAAAAAATTCATGGGAAATGTAATTTTAAAACGTTAACTATTTTACATAAAAAATTTACGGTTAAACAAATAGAGATCCTAATAAAGCGACACTATCTTGGGATAAATTTTTTTTTTATATATATATGTAAGATTTTTATAACTTGTATGCGTACAGAGATCAACTGGTTAATTTTTCTACTAATGGGACATTAACAAGATTGTTCCACGATGTACTTATGCGATAATTAAAAGAAATGATTAATTTTTCTACTAATGGGACATTAACAAGATTGTTCCACGATGTACTTATGCGATAATTAAAAGAAATGATGTTCCGTGATGTTCTTTTTTGTATCGATAAGAAAAAATTTAAAATTATTCCTACAATGTACCAGAATAAAAATTCAAGAGTAAAATGATAATCTTCTTTATTTCTTCCCCGTATCACTTTTGATTACATCACTGTGAACCAACATTGGGCGCTACGGATCGATGGTGTTCCCTAACAAGACTGAATCCTACTTTTAAATTATAAGTACAATTGAAGACACAGTATCGCAATTGATTGATGTAAATAGCCTTTAATCCACTGAAATCCCTCCTTGCCTTCAAGCCATTAAACTAAGTTCACCCTGCAGTAAAAACAAACAGAATTAAGCTATCTTTGATAAGTTCTACGCAATAAATTGGAAGATTTCGTTCTAGTACCAAAAAGAATAATAATCGTAAGATGATTAAATGAAAGGGAAAAAGAATAGGCAGATTCAAGAAAGGATAAAAAGAACTTTACTTTGAGCAATCGACATCACGAGTAATAGGGAATGGGGCTTGGACATCACAAATACCAGGAATGGCAGCAGCAACCTTGAGCTGTTCAAAGGTTAGCGACGAAAGAAAGGGTTTCAAGCAGGAACAAACGGCCTGATGATCCGCCGGCGTTGTAGCATCTCCGGCAACGTTTTTCGCGCCGATACAGCAAGTGAAATCGATAGTTTGTGCGTTCAGGACATAGTCCTTGCATGGACGAAGTTGAGTGTTAACAAAATTACAAGTGATTGCTCCATGGCCTAAAGAAGCCAGGCTCATCAACATGGCGCAAATAAAAATGACCGAAATCATGGATTTAGCCATAGATTCGAAATTTTTGTATGGTTTTAAATTAATGTTGTTTTTGAAGAATTTGGATTGAGCTAATGATTTGTATATCGGAGAGTTGGGGTTCTTTATATAGGAGGAGTGATTTTTACAATTTTTACAAGGTTGATTGTACATGAATCCCCCTAACTAATGCACTTACTGTTTTCCTTAATAAGAACAATAACAAAAAGACCAAATTCATTCTCCAATCAGCAACATGAAATTTATAGTATTATTACAACTAAATATGCTACCTTATTAAACTTACTACCTTTTCGCCTCTAAATTGTGCTATCTCCGTCCAAAATTAGTTTACACTGATTTTTAAAATTTGCATGCAAAATAAATATAAATCCCAAAACTTAAATGTAGACTAGTTTTAGTAACAGAAGAAATATTAATTAAGTAATGAACGAAATCACACTTTGTGGTAGGGTCATCAAGTTACAGTGAATATCTTTTTGAACTTATGAAATTAATTAAGGTCCTTTTGTAATTATTATTTTGAGTTCATTTCATTCGGGAAATCAGAAAGCTTCATGCATCAGAAATACTAAAGATACATGAATCTTTTTGGAAGGGACAGGCTGGTGATAACTCGGAATTACCGAATAGCAAGTCAATTAATTATTTCCTTTGGCTCGTAAAAAACGGTCCACCATTTAAATAAAACAAAACAAAAGAATGAAATTTTCCTTAAACCAAGAAAATACTTTTCTGTAAATAATTTTTGCGGACATAAACAACAAAATAATTCAAAAAGAAAAATTGAATTGGTGAACCAAATTTAATTTAGTGTTACAATATACAGTTCTCAATAAGGCAATCTATAACCAACTAAATTGTTGAATATCCTACACCATATATAATCGCCCGACATTAATTTAGTCGACTTAAAATAAAATAGTGTCCCTCCATTTTTAAAAAATTAATCATTTTCTTGTATTAATTTAATTTAATTTTATACTTGTTTTTCTTGAACGGAATGAACGCATCAATCACTTACAACTACAGTTTTAATTGTAACATGAAATCGTTGATACCACTATAACCATAACATCGGCCCAATTGCTTGCGTTTGATCTACTTTGGTGGGTATAAAAAGTTGAAATGAGGCCTTATATAGTTGGTGACCTGATTTCACGTACAGATATAGGGCGACGAACCTTCTTCGTCTTTTTGAAGTTTTTTTTTCCGGATATTTTTGGGGTATGATTGTGAAATGATCAGTCAGGTTTTCTTGGCTTTATGCCAAACATAAGATATGTTTCGGCAATAATAGATTTTCTGCTTGAGTGGTTTTGAGAGTAATAAAGTTTCAACGTTCAAAGACATTGAAAACGATACCATTGTTATGAAAAACAAATCAGCCGCAGGATGAAAGCTGCTCGGATACCAGGATGGGTTACAGCTAACAATCCTAAACCCTAGCAGTTGCCACTCTCCCCCTCTCTCTCAAACTCCAACTCCGAAAAAATATTTCTTCTCCCATTTTCTCATCATGGAAGGATGGGAAAATAAACTGGTTTAATCATTTTTCGTTTTTGTTCTTTGTTCTTGTTTAATAAGTGAGTTTATTCTCACAAATTAGTTCCTTCAATAGATTATTTAGTTTGGTGATTTTTTTATTTCTTGGAAGATCGTGAAATCACATACTTTGTCTCATTCCTGTGTTGAAACTGAAGCATCGATCCGTGCTTTCTACTACTTGTGAGTGTGGGTCTGGTTGAAGTCTTTATTGTCCTGTCTTGGAGTAATTCATTCTTAATTATCCTATTAACCTTCAATGTAATTGTCAAACACCTTTGCATATTGTTGCAAATATTGTCTTTCATGAACCTAAAAAGTGCATAGAGATTGATTTTCATTTCTTACATGATGAATTGTTCAAAGACACTATTTCTCCTAATTTTGTTTTTACTCGTTTGCTATTGGCCAATATTTTTACTAAAGGTTTAGGCAAGTGCGAGTTTAATTTCTTCATTAGTAAATTGAGGCATCCGGAATCCGCATGCTCTAACTTGAAGGGGAGTTAGAATAAATTGTATTTTTACTGGGTTACTAGGAAAAATTTTCATTTACAACATCTCTACATTTATCATTTTTTGCGTACACTTGATTACACAAGTATTAAAAAAAATATTTTCTTCGCCTAGAATAGGGTTCTTTCGGTTGTTCGTATCATAATCGATCAACCTATTTGAAATTTCTATTAATGATTTGCACAAGATAAAAATCACATACATAATTGAGTACGGCCATTTGATACTTGAGCAGGATACGACTCAAGCATCTCTAGCGTCGACTTAAAACTGGTGAAGAATGATATGTATGGATTAAATCTTGCGGGGTGCGTGATGTTTGTAGTTGGTTCACGTACTCTTGTAGTTGGTCTTTCGAACTCAAGTCATAGGTGTTTTCTCTTAAACTCAAATATCAAGACAAAAGTAGTCTCCCTTATTCAATTTCACAGTTAACATGCGTCTTTACGCAGAACTTGTAATGAAAATATTGCAAATGTTAGAAAATTTTCTGAATGGTTTTTGTAGCTCGCAAGCTGAAATTGAAAATCCAGCAGATATGCTAAATCAAGCTGAAAGGAACCCCTATCGCCGAAGTCCTCGATGGTAATATGGCGATGAATAATCTTTATATTACAAAGAACAACTTTGACACTGACTTATATAATATGATCATATGGAAACCCGAAATGGTCATATATCGTCCATTATAGACAAAGAGGAGGCTCAATACTTAAATTCAGACATCATATGCAATTCAGAAGTAGAGTAAATAAATAGTGATATCAATGTCTATTTCACCAACGATTGATGATTATCTATCTACTAACTAAAAGTCTGTTTTGACAGATATATATGTCCGATAGACGCGAATTGTGAATTCTCTTTTTGCCCGAATCGTACTACGTATGCGCACAAAGATCAACTGGTTAATTTTTGCTACTAATTATTTAACGTCGATGCAACTTCGAGGTTTTTGCGATATCAAGAATCAACATGATTTTTCAATGATTTACTTGAGCGTTGAAACTCTGATGTTAGCATGATTAGTGGAATAAAATTACGATAGGATTAAAATATTTGATTTGATTTAGGTAACTAATATGATGATTTGATCTTATCTAGTAGTTACTCCTACTAATAGCATAGGAGTGATGATTCTTGAATAAATATCCCAGTATATCCATTCAATAAGATACACAATATTCTCATCATGATTCCTCTCTTGTTTCTTCTAATATCTGATGTTTCATGATGCTCTTTTCTTGCATTAAAAAAAATTTGCTCCTACTGGAATAAAAATTCAAAAGTGTAAAAAACAATCTTCTTTATTTCTTCCCTCAGTCACTTTTTAATTTTTATTAGTTCATCATTTAGTTCAAAAATTGGTCGTGCTACAGTGTTCCGTAATAAGATCGAATCCTACAATTAAATAATCAATTAATAAATACAATTTAAAACTGTACAATTAATTGATGCAAATAGCTTTTAATCCACTGAAAATGCCATCCTTCGAAACTGTTGTGGCAGAAAGGGTATAAACACAACAAATCAGCGGAAACGATTCCCAAGAAAAACTCCTTTCCTACTACCAATAAAATAGGACAACCAAACAAGCAAATAATCAAGAACTGATAAAGTAAAGTAGACACCCTAATTTACGTTGAAACCCAAATCGGGAAAAACCACGGGACTGTAACAACAGTGAAATCTCCACGATCACAATAATGGGAAAACAGTCTTCACCAACCGGTGGATACACAGGACTTCACCCAAAGGTGGATTACAATAATACTTTTCCACACACCCCTAAACCATAAAGTAGGATTGGAAGGATCTAACCAAAATAGAGTTAAACCGAAAACTAAACCCTAGCTTCTCGCACAAAACCCTTGCACGGCTGCCCTAATTCTCCTTCTCTCTCAGCTAAAAAAATACCCAAAAGGTTGTGTGTAACCTTCCTTTTATAAGCATAAAAAAACCAGAACCTGGGTTTTGTTCTCCCCGATCGGTCAAGAAAACCAAAAAACCGAATTGATTTGGTTTCAATCACTGCTGGGCCCAATTTGAGGGGAACTGGGGCCCAACAATCTCCCCCTTCACCTCAATTGGGGTAAAACTAAACCTGCTTCCTTTCTGCAAAATAGGAGCTTGTCTCTAGTCACAGTCTTTGTCAACATTTCAGCACCGTTGTCATCTATATGAATCTTCTCAAGAAACAACGCCTTGGACTCTAGTACATCCCGAATCCAATGATACCTAACATCAATATATTTTGACCACGAATGAAATGTGGAATTCTTAGCTAAGTGAATAGCGCTCTGGATATCACAATACACCACATACCTCTCTTGCTTCATGCCAAGCTCTTGTAGAAAGTTCTGCAGCAAAAGTGCTTCCTTATAAGATTCAGTAGCTGCGATAAACTCTGCCTCTGTAGTAGACAAAACAACACACTTCTACAACCTACTCTGCCATGAAACTACTCCCGCTCCGTAAGTCATCAAGTATCCAGAAGTAGACTTCCGAACATCCAGGTCACCCGCATGTCAGCATCTGTATATCTATCTAACATGATCTTCCCATTGCTAAAGCAAAGACTCAATTTGGAAGTACCACTAAGATACCTGAGAATCCACTTCACAGCATTCCAATGCTCCTTACCAGGATTGGAGAGAAACAAACTAACAACACCAACTGCATGAGCTATGTATGGCCTTGTGCAAACCATCGCATACATCAGGCTGCCAACTGCCGAAGCATACGGAACCTTTTTCATCTTTTCCTTATCTTTCTCACTTTTAGGACACTGCGTTTTGCTTAGCTTAAAATGCCCTGCAAGTGGAGTCGAAACTTCCTTAGCACTGCTCATATCAAATCTATCAAGAACCTTCTCGATATACTTCTTTTGAGATACCCAAAGCTTTCCATTCTGTTTGTCACGAGAAATCTTCATCCCAAGGATCTGTCTAGCCGGACCCAAATCCTTCATCGCAAAGGATTTATTCAACTCCTTTTTCAACCTGG